TTTCAGCCGGCTTACGAGCATACGTGATTCTTCGAATATTCTATCGTTAAGAAACATTTCCAGTTAGACCTTTACTAGGACTACTCCCCTACGATCTTAGCAAATACATCACATCGCTTCTCTCTGCCCATTCGTCCACTCACACATACAGCTAGGCTGCTCCAAATAATTTAATAGTAGGAGGAACATTTATAAATCCATTATCTCAATTGTCGTTTGTCGTTTTATAACATTTTATCATCATAATTTAAATGAGTGTGTGCATATACACATATAAAATGGCCAGCATAACTGTAATTTGCATAGAACAAACTCTATGACTCTACTGGTTTCAAGCCATGTACACTGTAGATTCTATAGGCATTCAGTCACTGCGCCTCACTGCCCTCCTCCTCGGGCTCCAGTGCATACCACCGTGATCTATGAGTATTTGCATTGTGACAGAAGGAGGCAGATCAGAGGGGTAGGGTGTTAAGCTTTGCCTATAGGCATAAATCTACATTGCTATATTCCAACACACACCCCTATCAATTTGTTGTTTACTTTGTATTTGACGCTTAATACACAATGCAAAATTGCAAGGCAAATAGTACATGAGTGCTTTGCGGCGACAGACTGAAAGCGACTTGCGGATTTTCTATATTTGCTGTGAGTTTGAAGAGTATGAGCAAAAATTTGTTCAAGTATTTGCACATAAAATTATGCGGACTAACACCGATTTAATTGGGAAAAATTAAGCTTTAAGGCCTAAGTAATATTAAATGCATATTTGAGCGATTAGCGCATTGAAACCTTGACTTAAATTCTTGCCTGCAGAAATAAACAGAAGGTGAGCTCATTTCAAAGAGGCATTGACAGAACGTTCCTATATTGAAACCAGCTTCGTAGGTCAATAGCTTCCTACGACAATGTCAAGAGTCCTAATTTATCAAGAGTTGTGCCAAAAACCTTTCTGTAGATACCCTGTAGTCAAATGAACTAGTTGTAAACTAACCCACAACTAATATGAATCGCATGCCCAACTAGTCAGCCAACTATCTTTTTTCCATGCAATCAACTGGTATTTTTAACATGGGGATGTCCTACGAAATGGCAATTGTCAGATTTCGGTCACAAATATACCAGTCTCATACTAGTTCAGAATAGACAGAAAAATACTAGTCTAATTATGGACCAAAACCACTACTTTGGGAGTCAAAAAATAAAATGAATTCATGAATATACAATAAAAAACATTTAAGTACACTTTTTTATTTTACATATTTTTATTTAGCAGCCTTAGATTTGCCAATAATTATTGTTAATTTTTTTGAGTATTAATTAAAAGAAAAAATAAATACATAGATATTTCAATTTCCAATATCCAATACTCCTCATTTTAAGAATATCAACGAATTTACTAAACTCAGTAAATTCAACAGACGACTTCTCGGTAACAAATAAAGATTTTTTTAAGCATTAAAATGAATTTTGAAGGGGAGGAGTAGTGCAGCTCAAATGTGTCCAAAAACAGTGATTTTTGCACTTTTAGGTTAGAATATCCCGAAAACCTGACGTGATCTGGGGTCAGATTCGAATTCAGCACGTCAAAGACCTTCGGAAAAGTATAGTCCGATTCTTGGTTAAAAAACCTTGTTGGCCTGTGTAATTCAAGCAGTTATTAAATATTCTTCATTTTTGTCCATAGTTTGGCTTATTGATGATAATAGAAATTAATCAAATAATTATATTAATCGTGTAATAAACAAAATAAAAAATAATTGAAAATGATCAAAAATAACAAAATAACAGGTCTGGTATAATTGAATACGCACTCAATTTAACGGTTTACGATATACCCAAAAAAAAGTTATATTATTTTGTGTACTTTATTGTATTAAACTGTCGAAGTCAAATAATACAGGGTGTGAATAAATCGTTTGTACTTGGTACAACTCTGGTCATTTTCGAACTAGTTCGGTTTCTGTTAGGAAATTATAGTTGTAAACTAGTATTTTTCCTGACTAGTTTGGGATTTCACTGCAGGGTAATGGCTATCAAGACCTTCAATAAGGTAAACTTTTCTGTTCTTTTAGTTAATTAAAAGACTGTGATCCCATGTACAATTGAGTGAAAGTAAATGCGAATATTTCTGAATAAAGGATTCAGAAAGAGCAGTGATTAGCTGATAGCTCATAAAAAGAGTTAAATGACAGATAAGTATTTTTTAAAGACACGAACAGGAAGGTCAAAGTAGAGAAGAGAAATGAATGAACAGAACTGCCAGTGATTGGGTATGTTTCCTCCAAGGATACTTATAGTCTGAAAACGTGCCAGCTGCCACTGAACAAAGGAGAAACAAACATTCTTGCCGAATACTGCATCTAATAGTAATATCTCCCGACTTTTTCACTCAGCCAATGCGACAGCATCGCATCTTCTTGTCGAATGCGATGCGGTGGTCACCAGAAGTCTTGAGAGAAGTTTTGACTCAATGCGATCACAAAAAGATAACGTTCACGCTCCAGAACTAAGAATACGAAATGCAGGCCTGTCTTTACACCGTTTGGTCTTTTAAATGTTTTGTTAAAAGAAAAAAATCAAACGAGAGCTAGGTCTTAGTTTGAAATGGACGGACAAACGCAACGAATGGACAAGGAGATGAACGAAGGCAACAAGAGAAATGTCTTGCTACCTATGGTCTATAAATAGAAAATTATAAATATGTAGTTAGTTAAATATTTAACGGATGTACATAATGGCGAGCTTATACTGGATACGAATGCTCTGGCTCTGAAAACTCTGAATACGTGCGCGAAAAAAGCTGAAAAGAATTCTTCTTTCTGTAATACTTATTACCACCGGCCTTATCTCTCGGCGCAAGCTAGTCAATATTCCTAGATCCTGAAGGGTTTGCAAAGGCAAATAGCTCTCTATAACCTCCTGTAGTTGTATCTCACGGATAAAACGGCGGATACTGCAGTGGACTAAGTGGAAACTAAGATTACCTGAAGCTTTCTTTTAATTTTAATTTGAACTTTCATTTTACTTTTTACCAGATCCACCGAAGCGAACCCCGTAGCTTCGCGTATGCCACATAAAAGTTCTAAGCTATTTTAAAGATAGGGGAATAGATATATTTAATCGATACCTGGAACCCTTTTAAGACAAAACTTCAACAGCACGACTTTTTCTCAACGAATCGCATTTCGCATTCATGCACTGGCGTACAATTTCACCTGACTTTATTCGTAGTATCATTTATTATCAAGTTGTAAAAAAGTGAAACAAATACCTGCAAGTAGCAGTTCAATACGTAACCATACATGCATGAATGTAGTATATATTTTAAAACGCAATCACGCAACATCACCCATAATGTTTTCCACCAAAAATTCCCACTAGCTTTTTTATAATTATTCCATTAAGGCAATTTGTATGCATTTATGCGATGCGCAGTTCCCGTTCGTGATATTGTTTGCTTGCAAATACGTATTCGAGTATCTAGCTGTGGGATATATTTTCTTTCTAAAACTCCCATAATAATTTTAATCTCTTTTTTTATAATTTTCTGTTGAATTATTTTGCTTATGCATAAAAGACAAATTGTTAAAACCTGTGAAATGCAGATGTAAGTCTATATATAGCCTGACCTATTGAACTACATTGTTTTGGCAATTGCGTGCATTGAAAGCATAAAATATGTATACAATTTGTAGTGAGAGGACAAGGCTCGAAAATAAAAGCATTTACATAGGTAACAACATTTGATTAATGAAACAGAGATACATACATATGTGCGAAAAATTTTAATAGGAAAGTGTATGAAAATATGTAATGAAAGTGAATAATAATCAATGCGAAACAGGCGGCAACCGTTTATTAAACTTTGAGGGCCATACGAAGTAGTTACGAAAAATATCTTTCACGTCAGCTATGAGTCTTTGAAAGTAGAAGCCACTATCAGTCCATCAAAACAATTTATTATTTTTTTAACAGATGAAGAAGCACACGCAAGCTTTCTCACATAATAAAAACTTTCTAAGATCATTACTGATATATGGACCTGCATATGCAGATCAGTGATGCTCGGAGATATGTAGCTTCTATTTAAATAAAATCGACTGCCCCCGGGCGCTGTTTTGAGTATCACTTACGTCGATAGACCAGTTACGATCAGCGTTCGGACTTTCCTACGAAACTCATATACAGTTTCAAGAGAGAATTCTTGACGCTATTTCAGTTTAAAGCTTAGAACCCAGCTCTCAAAAAAAAAAATGAAAAGACATATTTTTCATTATTTCTGTTGCTTAAAAAAGGACTTTGCTTTTGTTGTAAATTTTCTGGAAGAAATAAATATACGAGCATTTTTTTGAGAGTTGCAAACTGATTTAAAAAATTTTGGTAGAGGGAAATTTCTTTTTCGTTTCTTGTGCGTCACTTTATATGAATCTTTAATTTTTCTTGAGAGCTGGAAACAGCCCTTAAAGAGATCAGTAGTGAAATTTTCTTTTTTGTTATTCATAAAAAATTTTAAAATTTTTGATTTGCATGAAAGCGACAATAAAAAATGCAAATCAACAATGGGAATTTGGCTTTTACTCCGATTTTATGAGCGAATTACTCCTGAGTCGAGAGTCGGTAGTCCGAGTCACAACTCAAACATAGGCCGCGCGGGAATCTTTTTAAAGTTTTCAGTTAAAAAAGAAAAAATCAAGCAAAACAAAGAAAGAAATTCAAAAAAGTCCATTATGAGAACTATAAAAACATCCTCTTTACACGGAGATTTTTCCATAATAACATTATTTTAATTAGGTTGTAAACATAAGATTTTCGTTTAGATAAAAATGAAGGAAAATTTTCATTTCTCACAAACTCAACAATTTTTTTTTTTAAATTTGTTTGATTTTACAATTTTTGCTTCATTTTTATCTAAAAAAATTTTATTTTTAAAACTTATTTATTTTGAAAAAAAAACACAAGTGTATCATACAACTTTTTAATAAACAAAATCCACTTACCCGATTTGTATTCGTTACATTGACGATTTATTGATGTTGTGACCGCTGAGATTTAATGAAGGCCAAATTTGTTGTTAGAGTACCTGAAAAGAATTTTAAAAGAATTTTGAAATTAAGTACACATTTTAATAATCTAGAGACTATTTTATTTGCCGGCAAAGAAACCTAATTTTTCGCCTTTTATTGTTTAAGGCAAAACCTTATCTAGTATAAGTATTAAAGTCTCAAGTAATTCAAAAAGTACCGAAAAACTTATAAAGAACTGAAAATAATCTAAAGTGTCCCGAAACAAACTGCGAACGCTGCTAAAAATTACAAAACAATTTGAAAATCCTAGAAAAGTATACGAAAAATCAAGAAACGCCTAAAAATTCAAGTTGCGGATGTTTTCCGCAAAAAAGATATCAAAACGTGTTTTCAAAGGCATGACGAAATTGTGCTCTACAATGAGATAGGATCCTCATAGTACCTAAAATAAGCGATATTGTCTTGGCGCTTTATTACTTAAAGTACACGATGCAGAAAATGTATTCTATCATTTTTGAATATGTATGGCTTTTCAATTCGAAATCTAAAACTTACTCCCATTTACAATGTGTGAATAATAAAATAGACAAGGTTACAAAACACAGTAAAATCCACTGTACAAAAGTAGCAATTGACTGGCGCTTAATTAGCATTAGAATTGACACTTTGATTTTTTTATGTAGATACAAATATTATATACATACGTATATATATGTATATACATTTTTTTTTTGGAGCGCAGGTGTTGAAAACATTAAAAAGCTACAATGCCTGCGTACGACTAAATGGAGGGTATTTCCAGTTGGTTTTAGGTTCTTCATTACAACAGTTTTTTTTACTTATTCACGGGTATACTTGTAGGTAATAGTTGTACCCAAAGTATGTATAGAAATGTAAGGCAATGCTTTTTTGCGAAATAATCGTATGCGCTTATCTGATTTGAATGCTAATTAAAACTAAATTACAAAATTAAAAGTTCAGGCGATAAATCTAGCACGTGTGTAATGATTTAACATAGGCAAGTGTCATAATATTTATTCGATTTGATTTTGGGCAATGCTTCAGTTTATAGAAAAAGTGTATTTCATTAAGTCTTCAAAAAAAAAAAAAAAAAACAATCGCAATGAAAAGTTATTGGTAAGAGAGTATTTTACTCTTTGAGGTATTTTTGCAAGGCAATTTTGAAAACAGTTTTTTAGGTCGAAATTAGGGGTCTCCTTTTAGCATTTTTCAGGTGACACCTACATATATATATTAGACTGCATCACTCCCCATACAAAAAAAATCGGTACTATTTTTCCATTGGTATTATAAAATCTATTATATTTTAAGACGTCCACCAAAATATTTCGAAAAAATATTAAGATTTAAGTGAGCTGGACCAGATTTAAAATACCTCCAAAAATGGAGTTTTTTATGAATAAAAATAGTTTCTTAAAATTTTTTTTTTAAAAAATCCCCTCAAATGACAAAACGGTTTAAGCTTAAAAAATTTGCATAAAAATATTTTTAAAAAATTAAAAAAAAAATTTGAACGGAATCGTAATGATGAGATTTTTGATGCTGCTTTTTAACTTTTTTAAAGATTGGTATAAGAAAAACTTGAATAACTGAGCCTAAACTCTTCTGATTTAGACTTAAGAGGTGTCGGTGGAAAGGTATTTTCTCACCCTTTTTATTTCTTTGCCAATAAGCTCATTCAAAGGATGAAAGAGAAAGGTAGGATGAATGAACGTCATTCAAAGTTGAATTAAGATGTGTTGGTATTTGAAAAAAAAAAA